GCTTTGGAACTTCCTCCCAACATGAAAGGCGCTATACACATGTAATGTTGTTGTTATTCATTCAGGGTTATTGATAAGACATTACTATGGTCAAACTATTGAGCTTGTGAAGCACTGGGGGAGGGGGAATTGGATCTTACAGATGCCGTAACAAAAAGAAGGTTGTTGTATCTGAATCTGGGAACTCACTGGTAAGGCGGTGTAGAGGAGAGAAACCGGGTGATCCTCAGTGTTACATGAATATCTCCTTATTCCTCTGACTGCTTCTCCTCATTTGAGAACCTCACACTCTACCATCCCTCCTTTCTCTCACTCAAAATTCTCCTGGTTTACCACACCCCCCAAAAGCCCCTTCCTCTCTGATATCTCCGCTCTCCTCTTCTCCCTGTCCCTCTGTTCGGAACGCCTGCTCATAATGGGTGACTTCAACCTCCACCTAAACTTCCCTTGCACCACATCCTCAGATTTCACTGCTCTTCTCTCCTCCCTGAACCTCACCCTTCACATCAACTCTGACCCACAACCATGGCCACCCTCTCGACCTCGTCATCCCACATAGCCTCGACATTTCCGACCTGTGCATCACGGACAAGGCCATCTCGGATAATTCCTCATCTCCTTCTCCTCTCGCATCTCTCTCTCCTCCATCAAGCCCTCAACCATACTTTTCCGCCCATGGAAAAGTCTTCCCCCCCAAGACCCTCACAAAGGCCCTCTCATCCTCAGACCTCCTATCCCTCTGGCCATCCACCCACAGCGTTCCTGAAGCAGCTCTCAAGCTGCTCCATGATTGCTTCTCCTCCACCTTCAACTCCCTCATCCTCCTGAAATCCAGGACCGTCTCCAAACCCTAAAATCCCAAACTCGGCTGCTCGAGCGCAAGTGGCAGGAAACCAACCTCACAGTTGATCACCAGCTGTGGCTCGAGCGTCTTCACTCCTACCGCCGCTCCCTGTCGGAAGCAAAAACTGCGCACTACTCAAATATCATACTGGAGGCCAACAATAACTCCAAAATCCTATTCTCCACGACCCGCCACCTCCTCCGTGCGTCCCCTCAAACACCCTCAATCATCACATCTAATGCCAAGTACGAAGAGGTCATGGACCTCTTTAAATCTAAAATTGACAACATCTGCCTGGGAGCTTCATCCCTCTGCCCCATATCTCCTACCACCACCCCCATTCCATCACCCTCACTCAGCCTGCCCTCAGCTCCTACCACAGCCCCCATCCTACATTCATTTTCCCTCATCTCTCCTTCTTCCCTCTCATCCACCATCACTCATTGGCTCCCGCCAACGTCTTCAGTCCTACAGTTCTGACCTCCTCAACCTCCCCAACCTGTCCTTAAAACTCTCTTTACACCTCCATCAAGTTCGATCCCCAGTTATCCTTCCTCCCCCAGATCCGCTCCCTGACCAGCACTGATTTCTTCCACCTCTGCCACATTGCCCGTCTCTGACAATACCTCACCTTAAAAGCTGCTGAAACCCTTGTCCGTGGCCTTGTCACCTCTCGGCTCGACTTCTCTAATGCCCTCCTCGTCGGTCTCCCCTCCTCCACTATTCACAAAATTCATTCAAAACTCCGCTGCCTGCATTCTCACCCGCATCAAACTTTTAAGACGGGATGCTGGACTCATTTAAAAAGCAGCTTGATACTGTGATGGCGGGTTTGGGGGGTGGGTAAGATGGGTGTTCTGGAAGGATAAGATCGAATGCACTGAAGGCCTTCTTCATCCAGACCAAACTTGTGTTTTTTTTGATGAAAACTGTTATCGACTCCATCATATTTGAGATTTTGGGCAGACAATCTCTCTCCCCCACCAGCCCTTTCTCATCCAGAAGGTTCCAGAATGCATAATACGTCACCGCCACATCATAAAAAAGGTTTCGGGCTGCTTAACTGATTCGGCAGCAACGGCTCTCCCTAATTCCAGTCACATTTTCGTTCAAAGATTCAGTTCCCTGTCCAGCCCAGGGGAAAGCTTGCCAAAGAGTTTCCCCCACGTCCTGGCCACAATCCCGCAGATAAAATTCAGCACTGATTTCATGGCTGTTTGTGGGGCATTTGCTGTGTGCAAATTAGCTGCCATGTTCACCTACAAAGTATACAGTCACTCCACTTTATGATAATTTCTGCAAACTTTGAGACATCCTGATAAGGTTATTATATCCAATTCGAGGATTATTAATATTACTACAACAACAAATTACATTTGTATTATATTATTTAAAGGAGCCCTTGACCTCGCACAAACTAGCAAGTGAGGTACGAAAAGGGTGGTGGTGTTTGTGTATGTGAGTTGAGGGATGGGGGTGGGAGAGAGAGAAAATGACACGAACATCACAGCTGGTAAGTGAAAAGCACACTGCTTCTGCTTTGATGGCGGTAATGGAGTAGAGAGGAACTAAAAGTACTGACGTGTGAAACTTAAGAATTGTTTACCCAGTTCGCATGACAATAACAACAACTTGCATTTATTTCGCAACCTTCACACGGGGGTAGCGTCCTGGAGCGCTTGACAGAGGTGGAGTCTGGCAGCGAGCCAGGGGGAGACACCCTGTGTGGAACCTGCTGAGGGTGGCCAAGGATGTCGACATTACCCGGAACAGACAGAATCAAGTGTGGGTTCAGTCTGAGGCAGGGAATGTGTACACCTCATTGCACATCGCAGACAGTTGCAGGGAAAGGGTAGTTGAGGCCAAGAGACTGGACTCATTTGATGCTGTGAATAATAATGATAATAATCCTTGCATTTGATACAGCGCCTTTGTGGAGTCCTGTAGCTCAGTGGTTAGAGCACTCGCTTTGCAAGTGAGAGACCTGAGTTCAATTCCAGGCAGAGGGCGAAACCTTGGGCAAGTTTCCTTACTCCACACAGAGCCTAATAATAATCCCTCCAAAACCAAAACAATAATAAATTGGTCATTTTCAATCCACGACTGTCTGTGGGACATTGCTGTGCGCAATTGGCTGCCGCGTTCGCCCACAAATATACAGTCAATTCACTTTACAGTGTGTTCTGTGAAGCGCTTTGGGACGTCCTCCCGACGTGAAAAGCGCTATATCAAATGCAAGGATTATTATTATTATTATTATTATTATTTCGCTGGGAATCGAACCCAGGTCCTCTCGCTTGCGAGGCGAGTGCTCTAACTGCTGAGCTGGAGGACTCCAGTGGGAGGACTGTAGGGTGGGTATTCTGGGGGGTGAGATCAGACGGGGCAACGAAGGGCTTTCCTTGATCCCAACCGATCTTGTGACTGACAGCGACGGGTTTATAGAATCTGTTGTCTTAGGGCGAGAGGAGGGAAGGGGACGGGTAAAGGAAACATAAGAGCTGTCGGAGGGAGAGGGGCGGAGGGGAGTGAGGGAACAAGGAGGGGGGGGGAAGGGAGAGAGAGAAAGGGGGGAGCGAAGGAATTAAGGAAGAAAGAGGGGAGAGGAGAGGGAGAGGAGGAGCGAGGAAAGACGAGCGGGGAGGAGAGGGAGAAAGGAGCGAGCGGAGGAGTGATGGAAAAAAAGAGGGGGGAGGAGAGGGGGGAAGGGCGAGAAAAAAGAATGGAGAGAAGTCCGGGGGGAAAAAAGGGGGAGGGGGAGAGGAGCGAGGGGGGAAAAAGAGGGGGTTGGGGGGGGGTGGGGGGGGGGGTAAGAGGGAAGAGGGGGGAAAGGGAGTGGAAGAGAGGAATGAGGGGAGGAGTGAGGAGGAGAGGAGGAGGAGAGGAGGAGGAGGAGGGGAAAGAAGCCATAGGATTGGACGGACCGCGGACTGACCAATAGCAGCGCGGCAGGTAAGGCAGGCAGCGCTGTGATTGGCCGAGGCGCTGCTGATGGACGGCTCCGATTGGCTGAGCTCCAGATGGAGCGAAGGACATGATTTTGCGCTGTTTCTTACCCCTTTTTTGGGGCTAATTTACCCACATCCCCCCCTCCCCCCCCTCCCCCCTGTGGGGACAGGGGTCGAGCAGCTTATTTTGGACTCATTTCCCCCCCCCCCCACCCCCCCCCAGGAGGAGAGAGAGAGAGAGAGAGAAGGAGAAAGAGAGAGAGAGATATTTTTTTTCTAATGTTTTTTTGGTGCCTCGTCCTTGTCGACCACAGACGCGGCTGTTTTAGGTGATTGGTGGCTGTGGGGGGGAGTGGGGGGAGTGGTTTTTGCGAGAGGAAGCGAGAAGCGAACACACACTCTGACTGAGTCAGACACAGAGAGAGAGAGACACACACACACACAGACACACACAGAGACTGAGAGAGAGACAGAGATACACAGAGAGAGAGAGAGACCCACAGACACACACAGACGGAGAGACCCACAGACACACACAGAGAGACACAGACACAGAAGAGACAGAGAGAGAGAGAGAGAGACAGACACACAGACAGAGACACACAGACAGACACAGAGAGACACAGACACAGAAGAGAGAGAGAGAGAGACAGACACACAGACAGAGACACACAGACAGACACAGAGAGACAGAGATACAGACAGAGAGAGAGAGACAGACACACAGACAGACACAGAGAGACAGATACAGAGAGAGAGACAGACAGACACACACACACAGACACACAGACAGAGACACACACACACAGACAGAGACAGAGACACACAGACAGACAGTGAGAGAAAAGAAGCAGAAAAACAAAACCAGAAAAAAAATCCACACACCAGACAGGAGTCTTTTTTTTGGGGGGGGGTTTGGGTGAGAATCATTTCTACCCAAGTGACAGAGGGGATTTATCTTTTATTTGGCAATTTTTTTTTGTGGGGGGTAACCAAACTACATACACCCACACACACCCACACACACACACACTGAGTGGGTGAGCAAGTCAGTGAGTTGGGAAGCTTCTCCCCCCCCCCCCCCCCCCACACACACACACACCCCCACACCCCACACCCCCTCACACACATCCCCCCCATCACACACACCCCCCACACCCCACCCCCTCACACACATCCCCCCCATCACACACACCCCCCCCCCACCACCCGAAGGCTCCTTTTTTGCTATGAGAGAGACGGTGGGACTGTGGCTGTTCGGTTGGCAATGAGATGAGGCTCAGACATGGGACGGCGGCCACCGCGTTAGCCTTTGTCACCTCCTTCCTCAGCCTGTCCTGGTACACGGCCTGGCAAAATGGAAAAGGTACAGTGGCTTCGGCTCATTTTTTTTCTTCTTATGCAGTACTCGGTGATCGAGAGCGATCACAACAACCCTTGCGTTTGATCCGCCGCCCTATCGCACCGTCGGGACGCCTCGAAGCTCTTCCGCAGGCCACGCGGTCAACGTGGCGTTGACCGTATTTTAATGGTGTAATACTAATAATCCCGGCGTTTGACACAGCGCCCGATTGCATCTTCGAGACGTCTCGAAGCGCTTCGCAGGATACGCTGTAAAGTGAATGGACTGCGTATTTTGTGGGCGAAACGCAGCAGCCAATTGCGCACGGCAGTTGCGGGTGAAGTTTGTGGCAATTTTGTGGGCAAAATGATGTTGTTATTTATAAAAAAAAAGCCTTCCCTGCCAATGGATTTTTGCAGCTAAAATGGTCCAGTTTTAAAGGTGCAGTTACCAAGCTACGTTGCTCTTACCGTTTTTTTTTCACTTGTGGATGTATCAGTAGGATGTGCATTAAAAATGAAATGCACGTAGGTCTGTCATTTTCGAAGAGTAAAAAGAAAGTAGAACTAGCTGATGGATGGTCTCCTGGGTTTCCCGTTTTTACTATCGGTCAGTCTGAGTTTCAGGGACAGTCTGAACGAGTTGGGGATGGAGAGCGTTACATACAGTCTGTCACTGTACTGGTCTGGTCCTGTTTTCCGTGGTGTTCGACATTTACCCTCTAAAGGTTCCCATTTCTGATGACTGGTTTTACACCGGGACCCGAGATGAGGAACATTACCATCATTACCGCTGCTGGAAGTTCTCGTGTAAAATAAAATCTTGAAATGTAACTGTTTTAACAGATAGCACAGCAGCTTCAGGATTGAATTGCCATGTGGGCTTCGGTCCTTTATTGGAACTGTGATCTTAAACGTAATAGTGGTAACAGTGACATTTGGCGTTGACACCTCCTGGCTGTAGTTAAAGACTAACCCGGTGAACTGGACAATCTGCTCTCAATGCTGCTGCCTATAAAGGAGGTCTGATACCTGCCCTCAACGTGGTGCTGTTAGGCAGGTGTCCCTTACGCTCTCAATGGTACAGTATACCATCCTGTGGATGCAGCGGTGACAAGTGCCAGATTTCTGTAGCTGCCCTCGTTGGCTCGCTTTCCGAGTGTATTTAGTTCCAGCCTTCTGTAAGCACAACAAAGTGTCTTATTTTTTGGGAGTCAGCCAGGTGTTGACCCATGTGGAAACCCATCACCGTGCTTAACAGGATCCGAACCAAACTTCCATGCGTCCCACCTACACATGGAAATGCCAGAGACTGATTACTGGAATGGGATGCGCGCTCTCTCCCTGGAGGGACGCATCCTGTTTCCCCAATTCCGGAAAGTATTAGGCGAAGGTTGGCAAGAGCCAAGGCTTGGGGGACCCCAGAGTGTGTGTTGGGATGACTGTTGGGAGTCTCACAAGCTATAACTTTATAGCTTGCGATTAACGTTGCTGTCTGGCAAGCCATCCCGCTGCTTGTCCAGCTACATACATACAAGCACGGTGAGAAGTGGGTGGAAGGTGAACACGTCTGAGCAAGTCTTTAGAGGGTCAAACTGAACGCAACTACTTAACCCAGAAGGAAATCAATTCAGTTCACAGTATATTCTGTGAAGCGCTTTGAGACGTCTCGAAGCCGTGAAAAGCGCTACATCAAATGCAAGGATTATTATTATTGCAGTCAATACAGGCGTACATAGGTCGACATACCTGTTTCCTATCCTTGTTACATTGACAAAAAAAAGTAACCATACCTAGCGTTCAGAGTTGTCGGTACGGAATTGCAACCTTGGAAGAGGGTGAATTTTAATAAGAAATTAATTGCCTGTATAATTGCACCAACTGTTGCAAGCGGAAATCTGTTTTCCACCCTTGGTGCAAACAGGGAGCCTTGTCTAGATGACAGCACGTGTTCTGACGTTAGGGAAAAACGGTCCTGGACATAGGGATTAGGGGATATGGGGATAGGGCAGGTAATTAGAGTTAGGTCAGAAGATCAGCCATGATCTTATCGAATGGCGGGGCAGGGCTCGAGGGGCCGAATGGCCTACTCCTGCTCCTAATTCTTATGTTCTACTAATAATAATAATACGCCTTGTGTTTGGTATAGCGCCATATCATGTCGCTGAGACGTCTCAAAGCGCTTCACAGAATATATTGTAAAGCGAATTCACTGTGTATCATGTGGGCGAAATGCGGCAGCCAACTGCACACGACAGTGTCCCACAAACGGTCGCGGATTGAATTTAAACGTGAACTTAAAGCACGTGAACCGCTGCTCACGCTCAATGGTGTCTGTCCGCTGGTGGCAATTTGTTTTATTAATTGAAAACCCAACACGCTGCCCCTCATAACACCTTGTGTTCTTCTGGAGGGAATTATTGGGTTTGTCTGTTTTTGTTTTTATTGTCTGTTTGACTATGATGAGATAAGTAACTAAAAAGGAGTCAGCTACAGGGGTATGAGGGGGAAAAGGGAAGGTAAGTGGGACTGAAAGGATTGCTCTCGACTCGAGGGAGTGGGCACAGACACGGTCGGCTGAATGGCCTCCTTCTGTGCTGTAAATTTCAATGCATTTAAGCTTCTAGGATTTTACGTTGGTTGCAGTGAGATGCCAGAGCTGAGCACTGTAACATCTCGTGTGCCTGACTCCGCTCCGAAGCAATGTGCCTCAATCCCAGTAAAAAAAAAAGGTGTCTTTATTTTGATGACACATATTTCTGTGCTTGCCCAAGCAAGTGCAAAAGCAAGGAAGGATGAAGTGCAGCAGATTGGGAGGGAGGGAAATTAAAAGATCATGGCGAAGAGAGTCAAAAAAAAAAGGGTGGTATATTTGGTCTCTGTTCCTCCTGGGGCTACGGTGGGGCAAATGTAACCTCCTGATTGCACTGTAGTGATGCTCGCTGAAAAGTGCATGTATGTGGGTGTCAAGGGCATTTATATAATAATAATAATATACTTCGATAATTAATAATGTAATACACATTATAATATACTCTGTGAAGCGCTTTGAGACGCCTATAATGATGCGAAAGGCACTATATCAAAATGCAAGGATTACTATTATCATTATTATTATTAATCCTTACATTTGGTTTTAGCGCATTTTACGTCCGGACATCGTCCCAAAGCGCTTCACAGGATATCCCGTAAAGCGGAGTGACTGTCAGTTTTGAGTGAGAATGTGGCAGCCAGTTTGCGCACAGCAACATCCCACAAACAGCCACGAAGTGAGTGACCAATTTTATTTGGGGGATTTGTTGGCCAGGACACCGGGTGAAACTCCCATCTTTTTTCGAATAGCGCAACTATTTGGTGTCCACCTTGACGAGGTACGAGAGGGTGACTGGCACCCGCATCTCCCTGAGTCGCCTCCTTGAGGGGAGACCATTTACAAAAATAAAGGAACCTAAGCTAAAAACACAACATGCTTGAGACGCAAGGCCAGTTGACAAGCATCTGAAAGGCAAAGCTATGTTAACGTTTCAGATGTTGATCAGATTTGGCCCCGTTTGGGCTGAATAAACCCCTTTGATTTTGCCCACAAAATATACAGTCAATTCACTTTACAGTGCAATCCCGTGAAGCCCTGTGAGACGTCTCGAAGTCGTGATAAGGCGCTATATCAAATGCAAGGATTATTTATTATTATTGATTGGCCTATAGAGGCTGTCAAGAAAGTGCCAAAGGAAACTTCAAATAATAGGGACAAGTCACAAAAAAAATACGAGGCACAAAATGTAATTCTTGAACTGATGTGAGGAACTGTGAGGAATTTCTGGTTAATATTTTAAGGAGCTCTGTGAGTAAGAGTTAACACCACAGCCAATCGCTATTCCCTCACTATTCCTGCGCTCCCAGATGCTATCCTGTGTGACCGGCACTATATAAATGCAAGCTGTTGTTCGTTGTGTCGTCCCATTTAAATGAGGAATGTAACGTGAAGCAGATTAATTGGTCTAAACAGTCAGTGAGGAAATTGGATCTTTTAATCCGAAACCCCACCGCCCATAATAATAATCCTATAATCCTTGCATTCGATATTGCACCTTATCACGTCTGCGAGACGTCTCGAAGCGCTTCACAGAATATACCGTAAAGTGAATTGACTGTATATTTTGTGGGTGAACGAATCTCTAGGCTCCACATTCCCATTCCCGCCAGGCTCCACCGACTACCATTACACCAACAGATCGACTTCAAGACTCTCATCCTGACCTTGAAATCCCTCCATGATCTTCTGTTGCCGAGCTTGCAATACACGCATGATGAATAATAATCCTGCCATTTTGATATGACTTGGTTGATACTTCCTGAAGTAAGAATTCGTCACTCGCATTGAGGCAGCTGAGCGCAAATTGGCCGCCACATTCACCTACAAAATACACAGCCACTATACTTCAGAATAAAATTGTGCGAAGCCCTTTGAGGCATCACGATAATGTGATAAAATGCTATACCGAATACAAGGATTATTATTACTATTATTACACAGTGCTTTTGATACTGGGAGAACGTTTCAAAGCACCTCACAAGATGTGCTGTAAAATGTAGTGACTGTGCCCTTTGTCGTCAAATCATGGGTTTACAGCCCAATCACATTTTAATTTAATATTTTTGAATGACCAAAATAAAATAAGTTTTTAAGTTAAAAGCACAGTAACATTCTGTAATCAATCGTACTGCGAATCTGTGGCGCAGATTCTGTTTTCACCAGCGTACAGGAAATTGTGTAACAGAAAAAAAAACATTGCAATCTGCCGTGAACTCTGCTTTCATATCTTATGTTAAAGAATCAAGGTCATCAAATCTGGGGGGAAACATTGGATTGCTTCAGTGTTTCTGAACAGTGCTGAGCCTGGACATTAAAGTGTGTGGGTTGTAATTTGATTGGGGAGGAAAACTGAAACAGCTAAACAAGACTGTGCTTATTCCACGTTTCAAAGATTTTGTTTCATGTTTTTATAACATGTGTTGGCGAGCTTT